TAGCTCAGGCTAAGTGAAGGTCCTGGGGAGATTAGAAAATGTAAAAGGAAGTCCTGAAACCTCCCCACATACCTGGCACTTGTAGTTACCTTCCCAGCGTGGATACCTAGATGTACGAAGTTCAACTTCAGGGTGTTGACTCCATCTCAAAGGCTACTTTCAGAGCTGTTCTCTTTTATGAGTCATACTGTGTTGAGCAAGGAGAAAGCACCCTCCCTGCTCTCTTAAGGCCTCCCTTTGGTGTGAAGTTCCTGGTGCTAAATGAACTTAGAAGATGTAGCAAAAGGATCACCAAGACACTCACATACAGGAAGCCTTTCTTGGGTATGAACTTTTATATGCCAAGCCCGGTGGGAGGGTCTTCTGTAGGCCCTCCCACGTTTGCTGAACACATAAGACTTGGCTCTGGTGTTATGTCTCTGGTGCATGATGAAGCTGGATTTGCCACCAGAGAACTGCCCACATTCACTTCATCCATAGGCCTTGCTGTGGTGTGAACTTTCATGTGTTGAAGAAGCTGGGGATGACTAATGTAGACTTTCCCACATTCGCTGCACACATAAGGCCTTGCTCCACTGTGAATTCTCTTATGTACTTTAATGTAGGAACTGTGGCTAAAGAATTTCCCACATCTATCACACTCGTAAGACCTCTCCCCAGTGTGGCTTTTCTGGTGCTCAGCAAGTGCATCTTTGCGGAGAAAGGCTTTCCCACATCGGCTGCACATAAAAGGCCTTTCTCCACTGTGAATTTTTTGGTGCTGAGTAAGTGTGTCTTTGCGGCCAAAGGCTTTCCCACATTCACTGCACTCGTAAGGTTTTGATCCACTGTGTATGCTCTGGTGCTGAATAAGATGGGATTTTCTGATAAAAGATTTCCCACATTCAGCACACTCATTAGGCCTTGGTCCCACGTGAGCTCTCTGGTGTACTTGGAGGTTGGTGTTGCAGACGAAAGATTTCCCACAATCGTTGCACTCATAAGGCTTTTTTCCAGAGTGGATTTTCTGGTGCTGAACACACTTGCCTTTGGTGCTAAAAGCTTTCCCACATTCACTGCACTTGTAATTTTTCTGTCCAGTGTGAAGGGCTTCCTCACACTGGGTGCTGCTGCATGGCTTCTCCTCATCTTTAGTGGCATGGTGCTGGACAAATCCAGAGCTGGCCAAGAAGTCCTTCTCATCCTCCTTGCAAGTGAAGGCGTTCTCTGACTTACAGCTTCTGTAGCTCTTCACAAAGGAATCTTGGTCCTTTTTTTCCCAAGGGACTGCCTCTCCACTCTCCTGCTTCAGTATTTGGTCAATGTTGACAGTGACCCAGAAGGTTCTTCCACATGACCCACATGGGTGTGGTTGAGGCCCAATGGATGTTCCCTGCTGCCCAGACAGCTGCAAAATGTCTTTTAAGATCGGGTCACACATGTTACATGGGTGGCTCTTGTGGACAGAAGGACCCACACTGAGAATTCTCCCCTGTGACTCTCTTATAGAAACTTCCTGCTCAGAAGATGCGTCTTCATTCTCTACTCTATGACAAGGGCCGGGGCTCCCCAAGACCATCGCTGCCCCTGCTGGAGCTATCGCTACATTTGCAGGAACCACGGGCTCTCTCACTGGCAGTGGTTGGGGAATTAAATGATATCTGGAAATTGCAAGTCCCAGTGAGGTCACCAGTAGAAAGTTTTCCAGGATCACGTTACAGTACAGGCGTTTCTGAGCCTCATCAAGTAGCTCCCACTCTTCTGGGGCAAAATATATACACACATCTTCAAAGGTTACAATGTTGCGGGTTGAATCCGTCTGTGCACCAGCCTCCGCCATTGCCAGAGGGTCAAGGCCCCAAGAGGGCACGCCTCAGCGGGTGTGAGGAAATACGAGGCACAATATCGTCCACTCTGCAGTCAGGGACACCACACAAAACTAAAGCTGGGGTAAAACGGCTCCTACAAAGCAGAGAGGTAGGGCTCAAGCTCGAAAATGGCTTCCGTACAGTTGTGGATAAACAGACGGAGAAACCGTCTCTTCCTAGTGTTTCCGGCTGTCTTTCTCAAATGAACCGGAACCAAATATGATGGAGGATGGTCCAATGCGCAGAAGCAGGAAGTCCCGCCCGGAGGTCGCCTTAAATTGATACATATATATATATTTTAACAGAGGAAGGACTGGTTTCCTTAGACTGGAGAGAGGAATGGAGGTTTCCTTTGGCAAATGTGACTTCAGGTATTTTTAAAGTTCATATTTCTCAGCTTCATTCAAATCCATCCAAATGTCTCCCTTCCAAATTTCATAGTCCTGAATAATTTTTTTTTTAATGATTCATTGTTGCTATACAGGGTAGCTATTAGTTTGTTGTTGTTGTTGTTGTTTTCTGTGTTGATCTTGTATTTAGGCACTGTTGAATTCCCTCTTTAGTTCTACTTGTCAGTTGGTTATCTTGGATTGATTGATTATATAGATGATCATATCCACTGAAAATATTTTACTTCATATTTTCCAATGTCTACATCCATTCTCCACTTTTTTTTTTCCTCTCTCATCTTTTGCAGTGGCCATAACCTTTAGGACAAGGTTGATTAGTAGTGGTGATAAGAGATGACTTTTATTTCTGAATTTAATGTAAATTATTCTACACTTTGCATCTTTTTTTTTTTTTAAGATTTTATTTATTTATTTGACAGAGACAGAGATAGCGAGAGCAGGAACACAAGCAGTGGGAGTGGGAGAGGGAGAGCAGGCTTCCCGCCGAGGAGGGAACCCGATGTGGGACTTGATCCCAGGACCCTGGGATCATGACCTGAGCCGAAGGCAGACGCTTAACGACTGAGCCACCCAGGCGCCCTACACTTTGCATCTTATGCTGTACACATATTTGCTATACATATTTGGTAGATACATTTATGAAAGTTGTTTGCCAATTTTTTTTTATCATGAATGATTGCTGGATATCATTGAATGGTATAATGACCTATACTTAGTTATGTTTTTTCTCATTTAGATACATTATTTTAGTGAATTAACTTTGTTGGTGAATTTTCTTAAATTGTGTTATCCTTGAATTTTGAGATTAAACCATTGGTCATGAGGCATTAAAATGAAATATTGGTTGTGGTTTGCTGATACTATGTTTGAATTTTGCTTCTGTGTTTATAAGCGTGATTAATATATGTTTTTGCTTCCTTGTGCTTTTCTGTCTTGGGGACCACAGACATTACTAAGCTCAGAAAATGAGAAATTGTCTATTTTCTGTTCTATATATTGGAACAGGTTTTTTTTGCAGTTGAAATTAGCTTTTTTAAAAAAAGTTTAGTAGGTCTGATACCTTTGTGCTTCTAAAAATTTAACTACCCTTTCTTTGATTTTATGATTTTCTTCATGATGGGCCACTTTGCTGGTTTATATTTCCCTAGAATTTTTTTTCATGTTATCTAGGTTTTCATATTTATTTCTATTATGTTGATCACTGTGTTTTATTATTTTTACCTTTATTTAATGTTTTTTCCAGCTTTATGAGGTATTATGATGAATAAAATTGTATATATTTAAAGTATACAATGTGATGATTTGATATATGTATATATTATGAATGATTACCACAATCAAGTTAATTAACATATCCTTCACCTTATATAGTTACCTTTTTTTCTGCATGTGCATAGTGAGAGTGCTTAGGGTCTCTTCTCAGCAAATTTCATGTCTACTACACAGTATGATTAAGTATAGTCACAATGTGGTACATTAGGTTCCAATAACTTATTCATCCTGTATTTTTTGTTTTGTTTCAAGTTTTTATTTAAATTCCAGTTGATTAACATATAGTGTAATAATAGTTTCAGGAGTAGAATTTAGTGATTCATCACTTACGTATGACACCCAGTGCTCATCACAGTTACGTGCCCTCCTTAATACCCATCACCTATTCGACCCATCCCCCTGCCCTCCTCCCCTCCAGCAACCCTCAGTTTGTTCTCTATAGTTAAGAGTCTGTTTTATGGTTTGCCTCTCTCCCCCACCAATGTGTTCATCTGTTTCATTTCTTAAATTCCACATATGAGTGAGATCATGTGGTGTTTGTCTTTCTCTGACTGATTTCGCTTAGCATAATACACTCTAGCCCCATCCATGTTGTTGCAAATGGCAAGATTTCATTCTTTTTGATGGCTGAGTATTATTCCATTGTATATATAAATACCACCTCTTCTTCATCCATTCATCAGTCAATGGACCTTGGGTCCATATTTTGGCTATTGTGGATAATGCTGCTATAAACAATGGGGTGCATGTGTCCCTTTGAATCAGTATTTTTGTATCCTTTTGGTAAATACCTAGTAGTACAATCGCTGGATCATAGGGTAGTTCTATTTTTAACTTTCTGAGGAACCTCCATACTGTTTTCCAGAGTGGCTGCACCAGTTTGCTTTCCCACCAACAGTGCAAGAGGGTTCCCCTTTCTCTGCATCCTTGCCAACATCTGTTGTTTCCTGTGTTGTTAATTTTTGCCATTTTGACAAGTGTGAGGTGATATCTCTGTAGTTTTGATTTGCATTTCCCTGATGATGAGTGATGTTGAGCATCTTTTCATGTATCTCTTAGCCATCTGGATGTCTTCTTTGGAAAAATGTTACTCATGTCTTCTGCCCATTTCTTCACTGGATTATTTGTTTTTTGGGTGTTGAGTTTGCTAAGTTCTTTACAGATTTTGGATACTAACTCTTTTTCAGATATGTCATTTGCAAATATCTTCTCCCATTCCATAGGTTGCCTCTTAGTTTTGCTGATTGTTTCCTTCACTGTGCAGAAGCTTTTTATCTTGATGAAGTCCCACTGGTTCATTTTTGCTTTTGTTTCCCTGGTCTCCAGAGATGTGTCTAGTAAGAAGTTGCTACTGCCGAGGTAAAAAATATTGCTGCCTGTGTTCTCCTTTAGAATTTTGATGGTTTCCTGTCTCACATTTAGGTCTTTCATCCATTTTGAATGTGTTTTTCTGTATGGTGTAAGAAAGTGGAAAAATATAGAATGCTTCATGAATTTGCATGTCGTTCTTGCACAGGGGCCATGCTAATCTCCTCTGTATCATTCCAATTTTAGTGTATGTGCTGCTGAAGTGAGCATGAGAACTTATACACCTTATAACTGAAAGTTTGACCCTTTCTTTGATCAGCATCTCCCATTCTCCCCACTCTCTAGACTGTGGTGACCACCATTCTACTGTTTCTATGAGTTTGACTTTCGTTTTATTTAGATTCCGTATATGAGTGAGTACATACAGTATTTGTCTTTCCGTGTCTACCTTATTTCATTTAGCATAAGTACTCCAGGTTCATCCATATTATCACAACTGGTAGGATTTCCTTCTTTTTATGGCTGAATAATATTCCATTATATATACACACACCACATTTTCTTTAACCATTCATCCATTGGTGAACATTTAGGTGTTTCCATATCTTGGCTATTGTGAGTAGTGTTGCAATGAACATGGGTGTGCAAAAATCTCTTCAAAATAATACTGATTTAGTTTCTTTTGGATTTATACCCAGAAGAGGGATTGCTGGGTCATATGTATGGTTTTTAATCTTAAGTGATAGGTTACTTAATAATTAGTTACTCATTTTTCATTGCTGATGTTGTTTATTCACATCTTCATTCTCTTTTTTTCTCCCACGATTTTATTTAAATTCAAGTTAGTTAACATATAGTGTAGTATTAGTGTCAGGGGTAGAATTTAGTGATTCATTAGTGGCATATAACAGCCAGTGCTCATCACAGGTGCCCTCCTTAATGCCCATCACCCATTTACCCCATCCCCCCATCCACCTCCCCTCCAGCTACCCTCAGTTTGTTCCCTATAGTTAAGAGTCCTTTATGGTTTGCCTCCCTCTCTCTTTTTATCTTATTTTATTTTTCCTTCCCTTCCCCTATGTTCATCTGTTTTGTTTCTTAAATTCCATATATGAGTGAAATCATATGGTATTTGTCTTTCTTGGACTGACTGATTTCGCTTAGCATAATACACTCTAGTTCCATTCATGTTATTGCAAATGACAAGATTTCATTCTTTTTGATGGCTGAGTAATATTCTATTGCATATATATACCACATCTTCTTTATCCATTCATCAATTGATGAACACTTGGGCTCTTTCCATATTTTGGCTATTGTGGATAGCATTCCTATAAACATTGGGGTGCCTGTGCCCCTTCAAATCACTATGTTTGTATCCTTTGGATAAATGCCTAGTAGTGAAATTGCTGGGTTGTAGGGTAGTACTTTTTTTAACTTTTTTGAGGAATCGCCATACTGTTTTCCAGATTGGCTGCACCAGTTTGCATTCTCACCAACAGTGCAAAAGGGTTACCCACTTTGGGGAGATGGAAAGGTAGTAGGGAAACTATTAAAGTTTTTTCTACTGATCAAAACTTCTCCTAAATATATTGACTCTGAATAAAAATCATCCCTATTCCTCTGAACCTAGATGTTTGAAATTATAAAGACAAAATTTGATTATTTTTAGGTTCCCTTCTTTACATTTCTGTTGAGTCATAAACAATGGCCATCTGACTGAATAAGTTACAAAGGGTAGAAAGAAATATCCAGAATGAGGGGAATTTTGTTTAATTCTACTTAAATATCATCTCTTTCCTGATGCTGATTGTGCTCTGTTTCTTTCTCATGACCTGCTCTCTCCCCGTCACTCTTTCTTCCTGCTACAACCCACAAAATCAGGCACTTTGAAGAATAAAAAAACTTTATGACCTTTATCAAGATGAAGGAGATTCACCACACTGATCACTGAGCAGAAGAAATTGTAAAATGGAACTTTTAATATTTTAAAGCCATTTGGAATACAGTTCACATGAATGATTCTGTACAATGTACAAATCAGTACCCTGGAGAATTTACACTGACAGCCGTGGGAGGAAGACATGCGGGAATAACTTTTAATTGCATATTTAATTGACCTTGTAGGAAAATGAATCTCGTATTTTGTACTGAGTACAATTACATAAAGATTTGAAAATAATATTATCCAAAAAAGTTACTCAGACTATTTTATGGTATTATTAGAATCATATATAGTGTTTGTACTCTGCATTCTTTTGATAGTACTAAGACAATCACCATCCTGCTTTATAGCAGAGGGGTAGAAAGGAGTTAGGAGATAAATTAAAGCATACATTTTGCTAGCATTTTTAGTAATTTATGATAAATAACTTTATAAAAGTCTCTCTGAAAAGTCTTCAGACATCATTTTGAAACTATCAGATTTATAGTTAATACAGCTAACATGTATAATTTTAAGGTGGCTTTTTGCTTTTCCAACCAATTGGTATTAAGGTAATTCACAACTAAGTAAAATCAGTATTTTTCCCACATATGTTTTTACAGTGGATAGAGCTAAAGAGATTGTTGTTTTAAAGAATGAATATAGCTATTTTTCTCAAGGGCATTTGTCCTAAGAAGACATCTTTTATTTTTTTTTCAGATGTAGAATTTGGTGATTCATCACTTACACATAACACCCAGTGCTTATCATAACTAGTGCCTTCCTTAACAACCATCATCCACTAAGAAGAAGATGTGGTATATATGTATACACACACACACACACACATAATGGAATACTACTCAGCCATCAAAGAATGAAATCTTGCTATTTGCAATGACGTGGATGGAACTAGAGGGTATTAATGCTAAAAGAAATGAGTCAATCAGAGAGAGACAATTATCATATGATCTCACTCATATGTGGAATTTCAGAAACAAAACAGAGGATCATAAGGGAAGAGAGGGAAAAATAAAACAAGAAATCAGAGAGGGAGACAAACCATAAGAGACCCTTAATCATAGGAAGCACACTGAGGGTTGCTGGAGGGGAGAGGGGTAGGGGGATGGGCTTACTGGTCGATGGACATTAAGGAGGGCTCGTGATGTAATGAGGACTGGGTATTATATGCAGCTGATGAATCACTGAACTCTACCTCTGAAACTAATAATACATTATATGTTAATTAATTGAATTTAAATTTAAATGTGAAAAAATTAAAAGAGGATATCTTTTAGTTAACATATTTAGAAAAAGACATTGGCTCATATAAAAATAGTACCCAGTTAAGGTCCTGTGTATAAGGGGAGATAGATAATTTTAGAAGTTATAAGGTAAGAAATGATCACTATTTAATATGAGAGAAAGCAAAGGTATTTTCTCAGACCTACGATATAGACCAGGCAGTTAAGTGCCATGATTGGCAATGATTTTGGGTGAAAATAGAGAGCTGTAAGGACACATAGCAACTGTGACCTACACTTCCATTTAGAATTACATGAGTTGCAGTGATGTCTCTCAGAATATAAACCATGAAATATTTGGCAGGGTTTAATGCCACATCCCATCTGCTGCCATCTTAGGCTGCGTTAAAAAAAAAAAAAAAAAGATAATAGGAAGGGAAAAATGAAGGGGGGGAAATCAGAGGGGGAGATGACCTATGAGAGACTATGGGCTCTGAGAAACAAACTGAGGGTTCTAGAGGGGAGGTGGGGTGGGGGGATGGATTAGCCTGGTGATGGGTATTAAAGAGGGCACGTATTGAATGGAGCATTGGGTGTTATACGCAAACAATGAATCATAGAACACTACATCAAAAACTAATGATATGATGTATGGTGATTAACATAACATAATAAAATAAAATTAATAAAAAAAAAGAAATAGTGTTTAGTTCACAGAAGGGGAGAGTTCTACTGTATTGATCAGAAACTACTTTTCTGAATTCATCCTAGGTGTAGCTCAAGGGAGGTAACCCAGAGCAACCATGTAAGGCATGGAAACAGGGTTCTTTTGATTTTTCAGCCAAGAATGTAGATTTCAGGGGACATCAGTTGTGTTCTTTCCAAAATCTTAGAGCTCTTAGGGTGAAAAGAGTTTGATTTAGTTTGTTCTGTTTGAGCAGAAAATAATGAAGAGATTCACTTACTAGATGCATGGCCTGGTGCCACAATAAATCTTCATACCTATAATACAGACTCTGAAGTAACATGGTAGATGATCAAGGCCCAATTTGCCTGTGGATTTTTGGCTGACATTTATGGGCAATTGTTAAAGTTATCAGATACTGGAAATGCATCATTGCATAAAGCAGGATGCATAAAGCTCATGCTTTACATACTGGGAAGAACAGTGCTCCCACTGATGTAGGGAAACGTAAAGACAGAAGTTGCTCTTTGCAACGCAGAGTCAGAGCAGGGAGAGGACAAATAGCCAGTCAGGCCGTGCGTAGTAGCACCGCACGGAAGAGCTTGCCGGCTAGTATCTTGCGAGCTTCATTCATTTAGCATCAACAAGAAGGAAGGCACCGAACATCAAGCAGGACCATAGTGGACTAGAAACTAAGAGTATAAAGTCAAAGAAGAAATGGTTACTGCCTCTAAACCATCCTACTAATGAGATGTAAAATGTGAGGCTGTGTTTATATGTATGCGCATGTCTGAGCATGAGTTCTGAAGGTGGTCTTTATATTCTGAGAATAATATGTATTAGGTTAATTTTGTTTCTTAACACCCATGTTTAATTGAGTAAAGTCAGAAATGAAAACACTTGATTTTTACATAGACTTTAAATTCCACTTTAAAATCTTATTATTTTATTATTTGTTATCTCAAATATGTATCACTTTTATTTTTATTTTAAAAAAATTTTTAAAGATGTTATTTATTTGATAGAGAGAAAGCACAAGAGAGCACAAGCAGAGGGAGAGGCAGAAAGAGAGGGAGAAGCAGGATGCCCGGTGAGCAGGGAGACCAACTAACGCGGGGCTCAACCCCAGGACACCAAGATCATGACCTGAGCTGAAGGCAAACACTTAACCCACCGAGCCACCCAGGTACACAAGTGATACATCTTTATCTTCTGTTCCACTGCTCCCTCCTTCAAAAGCAGAGATAAAAAGGGGTATAATGGAGACAAAAGAAGTATATGTATATATACAGACTGCTGGGGGAGATGTTACGGTGGCTGGGGCCCAGGGTGCATGGGGTGCAATTCTGGGGCCAGCAGTGCATGATGCGTTTCTCTGTGTTTACATTTAGCTGATGTGGAGTGGAGTGCGCATGTC